CAATGTACATAAAATAAAGTTAAATAAATTATTTAAAAAAAAAATTTTATAGTAACATTCCTGTTTATTTCACCACAATTTAAAAAGAAACAGACAAAATTTTTCCTATCAGATATTTTTTTAAAACTCCTGGCCTACACAGTCTTTTCTGCTAAATGCTCTAGAATTAAATGAATTCCCTGAAACAAAATACTTCTAAAATGATGCATGAATACTTTCAAAGATAAAAATTGTTCTTCCTCAAGTACTTCTTTGAATATTGTGAAACCAGCAAAGATCTAGCTCCCTGCCCTAACCTGGGGTACCGCCCAGATGTTGGGGTGCTTCTGATCATGCAGCAGTGTGCAGGCTGACTGCCTCCAGAAATTAAAGGAGTAATTAAAAGAGCGCTGTGATAACCTATCTGACAGTTGATCTACTTTCCCTCAGTTATAAGTGAACAAAGACACAATAGGATGTCACTTCAGCATCAACACAATCGGATTCCGCAATGCATTAATCATGTACTTCAAACCGCAGCGCACCCATGGAGCTGTCTGTTTATGTTTATTTCTAATTGACTTTATTCAAACCCTGTACTCATAGTGGCTAACTATGGTGCTCTCCTTTCTTGATTGTTTGTAGACCTTTCAATAACACACATTATTAATTAAGATGCACCCCTTGCCCAAACATAGTCAGCCTTAAAACGAGAGCTTTTCCACAAGTAGATTTGGGGAATTTTCTGTTTCCTCCTCTGCTTTCTCGTTTTCAGTTGTGATCGTAAGAAGCCAACTAGATTTTTTTTTAAGTGTGGCCAGGGCCAGCTCTCTACTTCCATGCCATGATTAATGTGTTATTCATCTGGTACCTTCCTATTCGACTCTTGTCTTTGGCCTGTGAACTTCTCATTTAGCTTCCAACAAAGGATTCCATTGCTGTAGGAACTGAGGTGTGTCTCGGCTTTTACCTGGGAGGCAGTGATGCAAGCGTTTCTGCTGAGACCAATCCTTGGCTTGGGGTGGGGAGCAACAGACTAACAGGCCACCAGGAGAGTCCCAGGGCAGACAGCAGAGCCACCACTGCCAGAAAGGGTGCTTCAGACGTCAGCTACGGACACCCGGGTGAGCAGCTGCAGCGAGGGGCTTGGATTTGTTCACCAGGGACACCAGCGACAATGACCTGCCTCTTCCCCAGAGCCCTGGGGCCTCTGGCCCTCCTGATGGTAAGTCCCGTCTTATTCTGAAACTAGTAAGCTTTCTCTGCTGCCTTGCTTACTCCAGAAGATTGAATTTATTTGCTGTGTCCCTGTTATACATTCTAAAAAGGAAGCAGCAGAACTAAACGTTAAACTGTGGAAGTTTTAAATTCCTTCTTTTTTTGCTTTTCTTAATGTCTAATTTTGAAAAGAAATATAAAACAGAAAAAAGTTAATTTTTAATGTAACTATTTGATATTTCTTCAGTGATCAAATTAACTCATCCCAATCTCAGGTTTTATTTTCCACATCTTTATTTTCTTCAAAGCAGCACCTTTTTCTAACACACAAATGAAAACATGCACGACACAGCCACTTCTGTTCTCTAGGATTACACATCTCTCATTAAGCGTAGGGCTAAGAACTCTGCATGCCTGATCTTGACACCCGACGTGTTTTTAGAATAGTCACCAACCGTTGAACTAAAATCAAAGTAATTTTGACTCTAGACAAGTTGGAAGGATTATTAAGAAAACCGGTTTTACATTTAGCCATTATGTGCAAACTGTATGGAGATTTTGTGGAGGAGACATGAACTTTGCAGGAGAATGGTGTTTAGGAGAGAAGTTCTTCTGCTGGCCGGGCAAATGTTATATGTTGTTTCCTAAAAGGCAAGAAGAACCTAAAGTGAACTCATTAGCTTAGATACTATAAGCTAGTTTATGCCTTAATCATTGTATTAGTGAGGCAGAAATATGTCATAACATCTCAAACATGAAGATCACCAAAAATTTGAATGTAAATAAATATAGGAAAAATTTCCAAAGTTAATCACCACATTGTGGATGATAAACTTGGCCTCGGCATTCATTCAAGCCATTGCCTCATTTCAAAACACATAGAACAGTGACTTCTAAAAGTCACAGGGAGATTTCTCAAGAACTGTCTAAAAATGTGTCTGCCATCACAACCAATGCCTTGTATGGAAGAATGCCTCAATTCTCCCTCACATGACAGTGTTCAAACAGAAAACAGGCATCACAGTGCTTTTTTAAAAATGAACCAACGATTGAACAAGGGCTCTGTTAACTGTGAATCGGCCTTCAGTTCTCCTATGACGCTGGTGATGAGGAAGGCACAACATAGAAGACATTTCCCAACATGCAGTGAAGTTTTGCCCGTGTAGGGGGAGAGGAAAAGAGGAAAGACAGGGAGAGAAGGAGAGAGAGGAAGGGGAGGAGGGGGAGAGAGACATAGACAAAGAGAGACAAAGAAATACAAAATGAAGGGTCTAGATATGACCTTGCAATATCATAACCACTATCCATACATGGATATTTATCACTTCAAATAGAATTGTTCTCAGATGAGATACAGTGTTAAATGTAAAACATACAACATAACAAGAGTAAAAAAGATATTAGTTTTTATTTTGATTGCATAATGAAATTATAGTATTTTCAGTAGATTAAATTAAACACACCACCAATTAACTTTAACTTTTTAACAAGCCTTTTGATGCAAGTATAAGAAATTTTAAAACCATTCTTGCTGTGGCCATTGTGCTTCACATTAAACAAAGACATATCCTAATCCTACTTGCAGAGGGCGGTGTTCGGCAGGTAAGACTCAGTGGATTCAGTGGGAGTTGAGATTCCGTAAGTGGAGATGGACCGAACTGTTCCATTGTCAGACCGATACAAGCAGAGACAGGGCAATTGTGGCCTTTGCCAGGGGCCATGGAGCTACCGGTTTGACTGGACTGGAAGTATGTGCTAGAGAATCGGGGAGTGATTTAAAAAGGTGGATGAGTGTGACATTGAAACGTTCATTCGGTGAAGGCAAATGGAATCCTTTTAGAAAGAGGAGCCACCCAGAGTTTTGACAATGTGGTTACGGGTAAAAAGCAATGTTCTCAGAGCACCAGCATCATTTGTTGTTAAAGGGTGGTGTCTGAAAGTTGAAAGACGTGTCTGGAGGTTTCTAAGTACCTTTCCCATCACACACACCATACAAGGTCACTGACAGCATTGTAATGTGAGGTGTAACAGCAAGACCTAGGCTTGAGTGTGTAGCTGTTCCGTTGACTCACTCCAGGTCCTGTGTTCTCTATTGTCAACGAAGAATCATCTTAGGCTGGGCATGGTAGCACACACCTTTAACCTCATCACTCAAGAGGCAGAGACAGATGATCTGTGAGTTCAAGGCCAGTCTGGTCTACACCGTAAGCTCCAGGACAGCCAGGGCTCTGTAGAGAGATCCTGTCTCAAAAAGAACAAACAGCAAAAAAATAATAATAAAGAGAGAGAATCACCTTCGTCCTGTCTCTGCCTCTCTAAAAATGCCCACAGGGAGCATCATTGTGTTCACAAAGGCGCTTTAAGAAGCAGAAGTATTTGCAAGACTCTGGTACCATCCTCTTGTAGTGTTTTAGGACTAGGGGTGATCCTTGACGACATCAGTCTCAATGCTTCAAATAACCACTGACATCAGTTTCAACAAGTCTTCAGTTACAGAATATTAAGAATAGCTGTGTGGGGCTGGGGAGATGACCCAGGAGGTTAAGAGAGCTTGTTGCACACACATGAAGACCTGAGTTTGAATCCTCGGGAGCCATGTATAGCCATACAACCTGGAGCCTCCACGATCGGAAATGGAGACAGGAGGATTGCTGGGTCTTGCTGGCCACTAGCCTAGTTCCATGTTCAGTGAGAGACCCTGACTCAAGGGTATAAAGTAAAGAGTGATAGAGAAGGATACCCAGTGCCCTCCTCTGACCTTCATGCACATACATGTGTAAATACATAACACACACACACACCCCTCTCCTCTATATGTGCATGTGTATGTGTATATATATCACACACACACATATACACCGCTCACCTATTCATGCACATACACAAAAATTTTTTAAATAATATTTCTGAAACTAATGTTTTGAAAATTACAAAAGTATTGTGAGTGTGGGGAAATGCCACATTTTCAAATGTAGAGATTTTTCTCCAAAGTCTCAGCTATTTGGGCTTCAAGATTAATTCTTTGGAATATGTAGGTACAAAATAAACCTGAATATCCTTTTTAAGGTGTAAGATTTATCAGTGATCTATATTTATCTAATTTATTCCACATAACACAAAATCAGCATTTTCAAGAAAAACTTATAGTTAAGATTCAGAGACTCACTTCTGCAGATAAAAACTGTCTTCAAAGAAAACCATTATTCCCCATTTTACAGTTATCAAAATCTAAAACAAGTTTTTGCCATAGCATTCTATACCTGAAGAATGAGCTCATCGATTTCATGTTACAATGCTGTCTAAAACTTTACTTAGGGAATTAACAGAGATGCTCAAAACTCAGAAGTTTAACACAGTTTTTTTAAGCTGTTTGTGGTGAAGGGAGAAAGTGAAGGTCATTAAAATGTCAAGTCATGAGCAGAATGTGTCCTGAAACCAGCAAGATTCCTTCCATCCATCTTTTCTATGCATTAGTTTATTTTAAAAAAAAAATAGCTTTAAGCTAAACCTCCCATTTTAATCAATGGAAAGTCTCTGGGGTGTCTTTTCCATTCTTGATTAGTGAAATGGTTGTTTCCACTGTTGATGAACATATGAAGATGAGTCTCACTGAACCTCTTCGAAATTCAAGATTCCAGAGGCAGAGAAACCTTGCCGGGAATACTGCCTAACACTGCCTGGCTTTGGCAGCCGTCGGGAGAGACCTAATTATTTCTACCAATTAGCATTCCCCCTTGCCTAATACCAGAAACCAGTTCTCGCCCCTGACTAGAACACTCCGAGTCCCAGAGGTTTCGCGGAAACCTCTTAGCCCTTGGTGCTCCTTTCCAGTAAAAACTCAACCTGATAGCCTAAGGTGAGGGCTGGCTTGGGGACGTGCCTCATGAGGAAATCACACAGATGACGAGTTGTCCATAATTACATGACGAATAATTGAATCTGCCTAATGCACAGCTTTTCTAACGCAGTACAGCGGGCCAGGCTGGGCATTGCACAACTTCAATAGCAGCATGCATGGGAACTGCAGTGGGTGCAGCTCTCCTGAAGTCTGTCAAAAGCAGCCTGCACAGCGGCCCAGCCGAGCACTGCATTAAGGGGTCTCTCTCAGCATAGGCAAGGGGCTTTGGCTACCCCTTTCCTTCTCTCGTTAGTCTAACAGAAACTACTAGCATTTACTAAGCACCTGCTGTGCACTTGGGCTCACTATGTGCTTTACACCTGCTCAGAGTTCAATCCTCACATCAAACCTACACATTAATAAGTAGTGCAATCCCCCTGTGGCAGATGAGGAAATGGAAGGACTGGGTCATGTTCCCAAGTCAGATAGTGGTGCTGCCTGGGACTGGCATTTAAATCAGTCTGGAGCCTAGGCAGATGGCTCAGAAGGGCTGCCAAGCAAGGGTTAAGAGCTGAAATCAGATCCTTAGAAGCCAGGTGGACACAGATGCAATGCTGGACACATGTAATCAGAACACTCAGTGTACACACATAATCAGAACACTCAGTGTACACCCATAATCAGAACACTCAGTGTACACACATAATCAGAACACTCAGTGGACACATGTAATCAGAACACTCAGTGTACATGTGTTGGGAACACCCAGTACACACATGTAATCAGAACATGCCTATGGGAAGATGGAAGAGACAGGAATCCCCTGAAGTTTGTGGCCCAGGAGTCTGGCAAGCACAGCAGCAAACCAGAGCTCTTATCTCACACAAGGTAGAAGGTGAAGACCAACACCTAAGGCTGTCCTCTGACCTACACACACACACACACACACACACACACACACACACACACACACACACGATGAAAAAGAAAACCAGGGTCCACGGTCCAGATTTACACCAGCACACTCAACACAGCATCCTCCAATGCAGTAAAACAGAATATCAGCAAACAGCCAAGGGCATCACTTTTACATAGCTAAATATCTCAGCTAAAAAAAAATCAACTTTCTAAATTAATTGTGTTTACAATCAGTTCTTGAAAACTGAATTGTCTGAAATTATATATTGATTTCTAAATAATTTACTATATTATTCAATAGGAGAATTTGCCTTGATGAATACAAAGTTTTTTAGGATGTTTTGTGGCTTTAAAATTCTACACAGTCCTCACTTCAATTTTTTCTGCTTTATATTTACACAGCCCTTGGGTTGCTGTTTTCAGTGTAAAATCCAGTAAATTCCACGAAGTACTCAGTGCTTGGTTATCAAATAGCTTTTGTGTTAGATGATTCCCCCACCGCAGACTGAAGTAAGTGTTCCGAGGACGCAGACTGCACTATGATGTTCAGAGGGTTATGGATGTTAAATGCACGTTCAGATTAGTATTTCCAGCCTACAGTGGGACTATTAGAACACTGGCCACCATACGTGAAGGAGCTTCCACATAGAAATAGGAAGAGTAAGTTACCCGTTCTTCTGAACTGTGCATTGTGTAACTCATTTATCAAATGTGTCTTGGAGGATTTCTATGACCTGACAGGCTTACAATCACTATTTCTGACGAGTTGATCAATTATGGCAGTGAAACACCAACCTACAGGCATTTCATGACATTTCTTACCCGAAAGGTATAAATAAAAAATACATAAAATCATACTTAAATATGTAATGACTCCTTGAATTACCTAACTTATTCTCCGACTTCCCCAGCGGGGAGTGTGGTGGACTCTGTGATGCCTTCTGGGAACGGGCAGTGTGGCTGGGTAAGCTGCTTGTCTCACAGCTGCTGCAAAGCTCCCGACAGAAACCTTGAGGAAGGATAGCTTTACTTTGGCTAATGACTCCAGTCTGCCGCTGGAAAGCGGGGCGGCAATGGGCATGCCAAGGGAATCTTACATCAATAGCTGCTCCCACGGGAGGCAAAGAGGGCTTGCTGGGACTAGAGATGGGCCAGCTTTCTGAGCCCCACCCTCAGTGACCTGTTCCTCCAGCCAGGGCCCCCCTCCCAAGGCTCCACGGCCCTCAGAATTAATGCACAGCTGTAATCGGAATTCTAGCCAGCCAATGAGTACTTCAGCATTCAGAAATGTTTCCTATGACGTTCCTCTTGTTTCTAGAAACAAACACTAAATGAGGGGCCATCCATTGAGATCAGTCTTAAGAGAGTTTAAAATTTAGAATGAATAAGTCATCTGAGGGCTCTGGCTCCCTCAAAGCACTGGAAATGGGATAGCCTGTGGTCTGCTCTGTTAATTCTCCACAGACCAGGCTTTGCCCTCCTGGGAAGGTAGGGCCAGGCTTGAATGTCTATTAGAAGACTCATTCTCCATGGAGCTAGTACAGACATGACTCATGTTTTCTGGATGACTCCATTTTTCCTGTAAAGAGGAGCATGCCCAGCCCATCCTTCCCCTCACAATCAGATGAGAAAGAATGGTCAGTGACCACACCACACTGGCCCCTTCTTTCCTAATAGATGGCACGGTGTTGGGGCATCATCTTGAGACACTATTTAAAAATCAGAATTTCAGCTGAAATGTTTACAGTGGAGGGGTTGATCATCCTGTGTCTGCTGTAATTGCTCCTTTGGTTCAGACTTGAACCTGCCTGTTCATTATAATCTTCAAAAATAAATGATGTAATAAATCTACATTGTTTCAGGTTCAACCAGGATCAGCCTTTGGCCAGATAAAAATCTCAGGTTACTGTCATATAACTTTCTTCTGTGTATTTACGTTAGCTTGGGGTTATAATCTAGTGTCATGGCAATGCACACACCCTGGAGATAGAGTGGTTATGTTTCAACCCGAGCTCATTGGAGGTTGTTAAACAGGGAGAAAGGATTCGTATTCTTACATCTCTAGATCTATAAAAACAGGGCTTATATAGTAGTATCTTCTTCAGGTTGTGGCAATAAACAATAGCAATATTAAATATAATGTTCTGTGAATAACAACTAAACAAGTCACCTAGCACTATCACCCTTCTAATTTTATCCTGTAATTTGTTCTCCACAACCTTTTCCCCTCAGATCTCACACTCGTGGAGCAGCAAATGGTTGCTAAACACTTGAATGGGGAGGGATGATAGCATAAGTAAGACCCACCCGGGATTGGGAAGGCTCATGAAGAAATTCTCTAATACTCATAAAACAGGAAGACACAGGGACATTTGGGAGCTGCATGCCATTAAAGACAATGTGAACTGTACAGACTCAGAGCGGGAGGCATTAGTAAAGGCAGCTTCATAGAGCATGTTGGTGCTTGACCGGATGAATCACATGTAGGTGGGCAGTGAGGAGCAAGAATGTATTCCAGGTGGAAAGCGATACAGATGCCAGGCCTGTGGGCTCCTGAGAGAGCAAAGGTCCCAGGCAGCCCAACTTCTTCTATCCTCATTTAATTTTTTATACCAGTAGTATACAATGAAACTCTTGTTTGCTTGTTTGTTTGTTTGTTTGTTTGTTTGAGACACGGTCTCATTACGTAGTTCTGCCTAGGCTAGAACTCACTATGTAAACCAGGATAGTCTCAGACTCACAGAGATCCACCTGCCACTGTTTCCTGGGTGCTGGGATTGAAGACAAGCACCACTACCTCTGGAATTTAAAAGGAAGTGCAATGTTTATGTTGCAGTAGGAAGGAGAAGAGAAGATTTATGCCCTACAGCAAACAGCACCTGAGACCGGCATAGGACAACCCCTGCTTTTAGAAAAAGATTTCATTTTCATAAACCAGAATGGTTTCATTCTGCTCTCCTTACTCTAATATAGCTTTAAAAGAAGTGGGGGGAGACAAAAGCGGGTAACAAAAGAACCTGTCTTTAAAAGGAGCTAATCCAGGGTTGCTTTTGTATAAGCACACGATAGATAATAGAGGTTTGGGGGTTTGATTTTTGTTGTTGCTTTTTTTTTCCTAGTTTTTTCTTTTCTTTTTTCTTTTTTCTTTTTTTTGAGACAAGGTCTTGCTACGTCATCCTGGCTGTCCTCCAACTCTTCATAATCTTCCTGTCTTAGGTTCCCACATGCTGGGATTGCAGACATGCACCACCATGCCCAGCATAATAGTTGTCAATAATTCTGTGACCACTTCCAGAGGTTTATCACAACAGTTCCTAAAGCAATGATTTCTATGGCATCCATGGAAGAAACATCGAGTGACTGAAACTGACTGAAAGCATAATTTTACAATCAAGGAGATAGTGGTGAATGGTGGTGATGGTAATAATGATGGTGGTTGGGGTGGTGGTGATGAATCTTCTTCCTTGTTATTGTTTTGTTCTTTTGTTTTGAGACAAGGTTTTACTCTGTAGTCCAAGCTGATATGCATTTACTATATTACCTAGGTTTGTCTCAGACTAGCAATGATCTTCCAGCCTCAGCCTCTGACGGCTGGTAGATTCCTCTTTTCTGACATTTAAAAAAAAAAAAAAAATCTGACATCGTGGTGCAAGGGATATACCTTAGGAGTTAATAGTTAATAGTACTTGGTACTTTTGCAGAGTACACAGGTTCGATTCCCAGCACTGACATGGCAGCTCATAGCCATCCTGAACCCCAGTTGCGGGGGATCCAACAGGTGCACACATGGTGCACATACATGCATGCAGGCAAAATATTCATGAAGTAAAACAAATAAATCTTTAAAAAGTCTGAAGCCAGATTGAAAAACAAGAGGAACTTGTTTGTATGGAAAATATTCCTTCTCCTGGTGGGATTTTACACTTCGGGATGCTTAAAAGCTAGAAGCGAACTATAATCTGAGGAACAGAGTGCATTGATAAGGATTATTAGCTTTATAGAGCCATCTGTTTGAAGAACTCACGTGGAGTCTGATTCTATTTGATGTCTACAGGTGGTGCTGCTGGTGCATGGGGAGCTGCAGGCAGAGGTAAAGTGTGCGACTTGTATCATTAAAACCAGAGTTTGCTTCTGAAACTTAAAATTATACTGAGAAAAGTATGTAATTTAATTATTTGATCATTCAACTGTGAAAATATATAAAACTAAAATTCTAGCAAAAAAACCCAAAATCTTTTCAAGTTATCTATAAATATTTTGATTATTATCTCATATGGTCTTGTTCATGTTATCTTATTCTCTATTGGATTCTTGGTTGGTTGGTTGGTTGCTTGCTTGCTTGCTTGCTTGCTGGGCTCTGTTTATTGGAGAACCAGTCTTTTGGGTAGTCCTGTCTCGCCTGGTACTCACTATATAGACCAGGCTAGCTTTGAACTCCGGGCAATCTTCCCGCCTCAGCCTCACTGCTGCTTGTTTGCAGGCATGCACTACTCTGTCTGGCTCCTTTTCTTCTTATCTTAAATAAACAACAAGTCAAATCTTATTATGGAGCATATAGGGGGGAATCAAATATGATCAAATGGTAATAATAAACATCACATAGCCTTGCAATGACCTATTTAATGCCGCTTCTTGACAAAGTATCAGGTGAGCAAATGGTCATCAAAGTAGAAAGGTAAAGTTCCTTAGCGCGGGTATCTATCTTTGATCAATATTCAAAGCAAAGACTGCCCGCCATGGACGTGATAAAGTGGGTCTCTCTCAACACAGCCAGGAGGACAGCCCAGTGAAGACAGGACAGCAGTGCAACAGGCCAAAAGAAGGCACAAACGAGAATGGGTAAAATTCGCCAAGCCCTGCAGAGAAAGAGAAGACAACTCAAAAAGAAACCCAATTGCCAAGGTAAGTCACATTAACAGCAGCAGTGTGAGCCTTAGAATAAATGCATTGCATGCAAATTCAAGACAATACAGCAATTCCACTCAGTAATACGTAGCCTGCAAAGTCCACAGAACAA